CAGGCAGCTGCTTGGCTGCCTATGCCCCGCAATACTACAGCATTTATCTCACCTGTGTGGTGCACACAGGTAAGATGCTGTGGAGTTAGCAGCCTAAATTACCCATTTGGGCTCCAGCCAAAGGCATTTTGAAGGTTAAACACAACGAACTTCATAAGGCATAAACACCTAGCCTAGAGTAAACCTTGGGGATCATCTGCACTGCATTGGTGCTCACTGATAACTTCAAGCAGCACATGAGAACCAATGCATTATGTGAACTGGAATTACAGATGATGAAAATGATTAAGAGTGTATATACACCAGGTATCTATTCTGCTGCAGCTTCAGGGACCTAAACTGATGCTTCAGGCTGTATGGAGGAACCCAATTGCTAAGAATGCTGTTCTTAGTTGGTATAAATAAAGCAAACCAAACGTACACAAAAATACCACACAACTCATTATGTTTCTCCTAACCTTGATTTTAACTCATCTTGCAGTGTGTTGATCTTCTCCGGAGGTGATCTCATAGCCCAGACAACTTGTGTATTTTCAAATGCATCCAACCCAATTCAATTTTTTTCCAATTACTCTTTTCAAAGTTCCAGTTAATATGGCTTTCAGAAGTTTTCATGACCAGTCTGCACAATGCATTTTGATGTTTGCAGAAAAATGTTCTTTCTGAAAAACTGTCCTTCTTGTGTTTTGTGTTTCTCTGTAGCAACACTTCCTATCATAATTGAAGCTTTTTTTTTGCTTTGTTTTTTGTGTTTTGTGTGTGTGTGTACGTGTTTTCTTTTCTTTTTTGTACAACTTTGCTAGTAGATCAAAGGAGACTGTTTTGTCAAGGATGTTTTGCTGCTGAAGAACTACCTAAGCAGCTTGGAATCATTCATTTAGTGTGTAGCAATGTGTGCATGAATGGAACAAAAATTCATGTGTAATCAAGTTCAATATTCCAAAAATATTTTCAAAAACCCACAAGGGTTACAAAACACCACATCAGACCTACTGCTTCTTGGTGCTATCATGATGACACAATTAGAAGAGACCATGGTGGTTTTAAGCAAATCTGAAAAGTGATTCTTCATGGGTAAATAGCTACTCAAATGATTAAGACAGTCTGCATTTATGCTGGTGGGGGAAGAATGGGGGAAAATTATTCTGCTGCACCCCAAGCAATGAGGAGGGAAACAATATATGAAAATATTTCTAAAGAAGATAATTTAGGCTAGTACAGAAACAGTAAGTTTGGTTACACTTGGCAAGTCTAGAGATATACATTTAAACAAGTGGGATGTACAAAATAGGAAAAAAGCCCACACTGATAGACAATAAACATTTATTGATCTTTGGCTTCAGAAATTGCCCTATTTTGGATATGGGAAATACTATATAAAATAATGTAAGCTTTTTTAAACCTAGAGTAAGTACTGAAAAACAGTTTATCCTTCTACAGTGCACAAATGCAAAGACATGCAGAGTACATGTAGGGATACTAAATACTCTATTAGCATAACTGCAGTAGACATTAAATGTCTCACACGGATCAATGCTTTACAAAGGCATGTTGATGGGGCACTCAATACACAGCAGATATCACAGTTTTTCTTATTTGCTGTGGTGTTACCACTAGTACCTAACAAACACAAATTTAACTTCAGTAACATGTGCATTATAAAAACAAATATAAATTATAGCATTTCACCAGAATTACTAGAGGAATAATAAAGCATAATCTTGCTTCAACTCACAGCATTTATTGATGTTAAAGGTTTTAGGTTTTTAGATGACAAACCAATTTTTACTATTCTTACATTAAAAAAATGCTGCCTGGTATACGCTAACACTCACAAACAAGACAAAACCAGCTTCTTAGTGCTCTGCAGTAAAATAACAAGCAACCATCTCTTACACACAGTGTAAGGAAATGCTTAGCGCACTTACTGGAGCAAGTGTTCCCCAACAGTGTACTACAAACAGCGTAGGTTACTAAAGCCACTTCTCAGAGCTAAAAGCTCAAGATGGTTTTATAAGGCTTCCTTTGGAGGAAGGCTTCCTTTGGTAGATTTAAACCTATTACAACATTTCAGCTTACAAGCAGTTCACATTTGGAGATAATTTACTCAAAGGCAAGCTTCTCAGCTCCCCCATCAGACCAGGTGATTAACACTGCTCACCATTTTCAGAGGCAAGGAAGTAGCAGACAGCTACAGATGAGTTTACTATTCAGTTACTCTAAAAGCATTCTACAAGATGGCTAATATAACTGGAGCCTCTTCTTCGCTCAGTCCCAAACAGTCATACTACATTCCACCTCTGTTGTAGTCCAAATCCATACAGGTGTGATGAATTTCAGTGTGGTCTTTCTGATCTCAAGCAGAGCTACTTATCCAGGTCAAAGCTAGCTGCAGAAGCAGGGCATGAGCAGAATCAAGGGTGTCACTAGAAAACTTTGCTAAAGTCAACTGTTTCCAAGTTGTACCGTTCTTTCCTTGAATCACAAAAAAGGATGAAAACTGAAGGTACATACGGCAGTGGGGTGTCACATTATATCACTAAGGTAATAAAAATGGAAAAGATTTCTCCAAAATCTTACTTGCCTCCAGTGTATAATGACCTGTAAATATACAGACATTCCAAATGCCAAAAGCTGTATGGAAAGAATGTTTTTATCATATCCCCATTTTTAGGACTAGCAGTCTGTGCATTTTCTTTCCAAATACTGACCTGTTATTTAGCAAAATGACCACAAAGATACATGCAAGAAGTTTAATGCATGTCTTCTACAGACCACCCATGTTAGGCACTTCAGTCTACGGTGCACAAAAAGAATACAACATTTCTTTAGATTGTTTATTATTTGTAGTAATTGCACCTAAGTATTATCCCCACTGACTTTAAAAAAAAAAAAAAAGAATTAAAGTGCCAGCAATCCCCCAAACACAACATGTCCTCAGCTCTTTCAACTTGCGTTACACTCTCCTGTTCTAATTCTGACGAACTCCAAAAGCACACAGTAAATGAGAATTTGTTTTTAAAACAGCAGGCGATGTGCAACACTGGTCAGGAGAGGTCTATATAATGCAACATCCGTTTGATAACACCTTCGCTACGAAGCATGCTAATCGAACTGTTTTGCAAAACTTTAACTATAAAATCATAGTTCAGAAGTAATTTAGCAGTAATAGGAAACTAAAATTTACATTAAAAATATAAGAGTCATTTCCATTTGGCAAATACTGAAATGGCGGATGGGGAGTCCCTCTATTCTCTGATTTGTTCAGTAACATACAGTACTATGTGCTTTTCTCTTAAAAAGACAGCAAAATATTTAAGACAGAACAGCAACACAATTTATGCGCGAACCCAGCAACAGAGACATTGAAGTCAAGTATTTACAACTTGGAGGGTGTTTCCTGCGTGATTTGTAACAAGTCCATCTTGTAGGAATTTTTAGGCTTAAATCATTTAGTAGCATGTTTACATTAGCATTTAGTCACATACATGGAACAGTTGTAACATTACACAAAGTGCCCTAGCATTGCTTATACAGACTTTTTCCTAGGAAACCGTATGTACTAACAACACATAGGAAAGATAACAGTGGGACAGGAGAATGACTGAAAACAACAAAAAACTGTTTGTTGGCACATCCTGACATAGGTATGAACTGCAATTACAAAATAATCTTTTTTGTGTGTATTTATTTTTTTCTGGTTTTTAATCTAAAGTAAGACAAATATTCATTCATGAAAATTAGGGCTATAAGGGAAGCAAAGTTCCCTTTGTGAAGAGATACAGTGAAAAGAGGAAAAGAGAGAAAAAGTTAACTTTACGATATCTTAAGCCAAGCTTTAAAAAAATACTTAGCACATCACTAAAATAAAAACTATTACAGAGTTTATAAAAAGCTAGTTCTAAAATCTACTTTTTTGTTTTCCTGTGCTTTTGTGTCTGCTTGTTTTAATAGCAGAGTCATAAGGGTACAATGCTGCTGAATACTGCAAATCCGAACCTTCTCCTTCAGTCTTGCTTGATGTTTTGACAGCAAGTGAAAAAAGTTTGATATTTACAGGTGGATTACACAGATCAATATAAAACTGCATACTTGCTAGCACTCCAGTCTGGAAATCAAGTTTTAAAAAATGTTGAGTGTAGAAGTATTTGACTTCTAGTTGCAGGCACTGATATTAATTAAAAAATTAAAATATGATTGATGGTAACAGGATTAAAAATAATTTCCATTAAAAATGCCACTAAAATCAAAGTTATAAAAATACATGTACACTGGCATGAAGTGTCCAGCGTAGCATTACTCTCCTGGCAATCCACAGTGAGACACTTGAAAAAGTTAAGTGCAGCATATACAGATTTCAGTAAAAGCAGCCTCAGAATAACATCTTGGCCTCACAATCTCTCTCCCACAGAGCAGAAAACTTTTCAGACTAGTACTGAGAACGAAGGTTAGATATACCATCAATTCAGGACTTGCACTACCCGCACCATAAAGCATGGCAGCTCTTTCTGAAGAAAAAGTTGCACAGAAATCACTCTGCAGTAGACTGCCTTCCCTGCATCAGTGTTCTTAACTAGATCAGGCATTTGGTATGTGTTGCCTAGATGCTCTTTAGAACAACTACCAGACTGCTCTTAACTTACCATCTGGAATTTTGGACTTGGAATTCAGATGCTGAAAATAACAGTCTTACTTACTCATTATGGTAAGCATTTAGCTCCAGTATACGATTTACGATCCAAGGGACCTGCTACTGACTTCCTCTGTTAGAACTTGGCCACAGTGCAAAGACTTCTCCAAGAGAACAGTCTATTTTGTGTGGCCTTGTTTTCATTCAAGATTGCCCATTTGCACTATGAACTTAATTCTTGTTAGGGACAAAATTAACCGTAGGGTGAATTTTTGTGGCACAGATTGTCATATACCAAAACAATCTGTAACATTTCAAAACTAGTCAAAATCTCTTTGGAAAAAACAACAATAAACCAACAAAAAAAAAAAAAAAAAAAAGACAATGTCTAAAACAATCCTTTGAGAATAAAAACACACGTGGCATTTTACCTTGTAGAGCCTTCAAAAAGCCTTACACATTTTCATATAAGATACTTTTACATTTTCTGTTCAATCCATGACCTCTATTAGAATTCAGCTGTACTTCAGTACAGCATAATAAAAATAATTTTAATTGCTTCTTTGACGTTAGTTGAAAACTCTGCACTAACTACCTATCTACACATTAAAGTTATGCTACCTACTTGCATAGATGATGTATCTTGACGGCATCTTTTGTAGTGAGTATGACTTTACAATTCAGGTAAGTACGCATTTCTATTTGCTTATCTTCCAGTATTTGTGGGTAGAAGTTGAAGAACAACTGCCATAGAAATGAGTTTTCTAAAGCACATCCCCCTGTAAAGGATCTTCTCTTGTACTGATTTAATACTTTTTCTCATGTTTGCTTCTCATGCAAGAGAAAACAAGAAGAGAAAAAAACTGCCACAGTTCCTTCAACACCTGGAAAATCCTAGAGCCTCAAATGATCAACAAAGGTCAAGTGCTGCCTGAGAACACTGCTTGCAAAGTGGAAAAGCAGGTTTGTTCAAGTCCCACTTCCTTTTCCCATTTAACTTCTCTAGCCCAAATGCTACACTTGGACTATCCTGAATCTTGTTGGAAGACATGGATTTAATACCATCTTAACTTTCTGTCTGAAGGGACAACTGCAATAGAAAAAGAGTTTTTAACCTACTAGTAATTCTGTTCAAATTCCAGCTGGACTTTGGAATTATTTAAATTATTTAAAGAACTGGTCCTGCAGTGACCAATAAATTCAAGCCCACAAAACAATAATCAAAATACAAATGTTAACTAATCTAGCTAGGTCAGTTCTTCATAACTAATGCAAGGAAAAAGTTGTGAACAGAAAAAAGAATAAAAGCATCAGGCCAGTAAGTCACATTACCAGAGTGATAAACGAGATCTGAACTTCATCAAAGGCATCTTCCCTTCTGAACTCTCTCAAAAATGAAGTAGGCAGTGAAGAAAAAGCAAGAATCCTGAATAAAAATTACTAGCAATTCAGACTTATTCTACCTGCTTTTCCATTTTCGCAAGCTGCTTTTTCCCTACAAAGTGCCAATAAATCTCTCTGGGGATGGTGGTGTAGGGGGGACACATTTGCCAGCTGCTGTTTTAGAGGAACTTCCTCAACAAGTGAGCAGATACTACTTAGTTTACATAATATACATGGAGGTCAGAACTATCAAGGCTGCTATTTTATTTTAAAAGTCACTTCTGAGCATGTCATATAAGGTAGTTACAAAATGCATTGCTCACAACTATAGCAATATACTTCATCCCATTTCACTATCATCTTAAAGTTCAAAGACGTTTATTGCTATATTACAGTTTTCGGTAAGCCTCATGTGCGGATTAAATAAAACCAAAGAAAACTGCCTCCTACTCAGATCAAACTGCTGATCAGAGGGTCATCCTTCCCATTCCATGGAACAACAGAACAATAACAACCAGAAGCACTGATCTTAATGGTAGCATCAACCAGCGCATATTTCACTGTGAACTGTATGATATCTGAAACATAAAACAGTGTGATTCCTCAACAAAAGCTCTGCAAAGCTGAGCTACACACAGTCCTCTGCCGAAGTCAGTATTATGTAACCATAGTCACTTCTATCTATGAGCTTCCAAGAATACACACTATGCTAAAGGAAACAGCATTATTTTGAAGTCATCTTTTTCCTATCCTTCAACTGCAACAATCTCATGCAGTGAGCTTTTTGGGTCAAGTTTACAATCAGTATCAATTTGTACTTCATTGTTTTACTAGTTTAATGACTGAAACATTAAAGGTGGATACCCACCTATGACTTAGATGCTTGCATTATTCTTATGTTAACGAAATATCCTGAATTAACAGAAACTGGATCCAGTATTACTGCACCTGTGATTTCTCATTCTATTCATCTGAAATACAAATCCTAGGAATATTTCAAGACCTGAATCTATGAAGTAAAATACTGTAGTCCAATCTACACAGATGAATCTTTGTCCTTGTTAGTCATGGAAAGCTGGTGTAAAAAAACAAAGCTTGCAGCACCAGTAGCACTGAAATATTACACTGCAATGAAACCAGTCAAGTCATGCAAGGTGTTCTCAAGATATCCCAAACACATTCAGTAGGTATTAGCTGGTGTACGCAGATCTTTTCCTAGTGTTAGTAAATACTTAAAAGGTATTTGACATAGCAAGACAGTTTATCACCAGTGTAAACTCTGATTTTTCTGCATTCACTGGCAGTTTGCTTTCCCACATGGTAATTTTGCAACATATTTAATATTTGTTAAACTCTTTCATTTAGAAATGCTGATTGTATGCTAAAGTGGTACACAAAGAGAAAAAAATAGAACAGTAACATAAAAATAGCCAATATTAGTCAAAGAAGCACTGAACTCTGCACAGTGAAATATTTACTTTTTTTTTTTTTTAAAAAAAAGCTACTGCATATGAACCGTCCTGTTATCCCATCACACAAAATATCCAAAACTTCATCAACCATTGTTTCACAATGGCTTGATATGTAGGCTCTATCCCTCCAGTTAAGCAAAAGTTGTGAAGTTAAAGCTTGTTCCTCCTTACAACAACTGTTTTACTACACAGAAAATTTATTTCTGAAGCCAAGAGATACCAGTTGTTACTGCATGGCTAAGTTAACACAAATTAGACTGATTAAAGGAAATGATCTGACAGAGCAGAAGTTTCAAGACTAAGAGATGAAGCAGATCTCTTCTTTCAGAACAGCATAAGTTCTTTAGTAGAGCTAAGTACCTTTGTAGAGGCACCAAAAACAAATAGCCCTTTCAACTGAACTTTCAAAAAAATTTAATTTTCATTTCAAATGGGTTCTTGAAATTACTAGATACATATATATCCCTCTCCCATGGCCCTGTAATATACATTCAGTAATTTAAAATAAAGATTCCATACTTTATAACTCCATATATATTATATATTTTATATATAATATATATATATATATATATATATGTACATCACAGATACATACACTCTCAGTCAGCAGGATTAAACTGTATTGTTTTGAAATGTTTAATTGGAATCACTAGTCTAATTATACTATTTTGTGAATTCAATGGAATTTTATCTATTATCTAAAAAGAAAAATTTTAAAAGATCCGAATGGAATCTGTGGATCAAAATTAGCACCAATACAAATGGCCATTACTTCAAAATGACTTAGGGACTGAAGTTATTTATTTATTTATTTTTCTATAACTCTCCTTTCACTGTGCAAGCATTCCTGCATAATATTTAGGCAGCAATACCTGCCAGGTCCATACATTTTTTCTTATGTTAAATTGAAATTTTATACAACTTTCCTTACTGTAATATACAGCATTGCTTTTGTCCTGTTGGATTATTTCATTTTTCATGCTGAAAAGTGATCAAAAAATATCCAACAGAACTTTTTAAAATCCCCTTTTTCTGTCCATTGTATGGCTCAGTTTCAATATTATACTCAACAAGTAGCCACCATCAGCATGACCAGAACCTACTCACACAGTTCAGTTACTGACTGCTGATTCTTTAAGTGTTAAAGGCGACTTCCTCTTTATGGAAACCAAGATACTCTGAAGTTGTAACATTTAAACATGCACACCAATGCCTGCCACATAATAATATCAGTCTTACCACTAGAATTGAATAAGTTACCTACCATTTGGGTAACAAAACTAACAAACCCAGTTGTGATTTTAAGCATTTGAAGAATATTCACCCTGAGAACACAGAGGAAGATTTTAAAAAATATGATATGTTTTCTCTTCATAAATATCTTTCTTCTTTTTTTCTTCACCTCCTCCTGGGTACCTGGGTTTGTATCTGGAATTTGACTTCATACTTATCAGTTGATCTGTTCATGCTACAGTCAGGTACTGGTGATAGAAAAGCCCAAAAAGGCTTGTAGAAAAGAGGCAAGCAGCAACCCACCAGGTAAGGAACGACAGGAGTCCCCGAAACAGGAGAGGAGTGAAAATATTCTTTAGGCTTCCCAAAGCCATTGTTATTTGTACTACGGTTACTTTCATCTTTCCATCAGCAGGTACAGATTCAGAATAAGCTGAATTATGAAGCAAACTGTTTTCTACTGGAGTGTTAGAACTCAGTTCTGGGTAGATGCCCCAAGAATAATTACCTGTTGAAATAAAGAATTAACAAATTTTTATTAAATTAAATTTTCTTCATTCTATACACTGTATTGTTTTATGTATTTTTTAAACACACATATACAAATATTTCTAACTTAGTAAGAACTACCTGTTTTGCTCCCCATGGCTCCCTGATCACTCTAGTAACCCATCAGGATAGGATTCATCCTACTTTTTGACATACTAACATCTACATGTGAAACGGTTGCCATGGGACTTGTCAGTACCTGGTATGATTAATCTCACTAGATACAGATGTCTGCTTCAGGATGAGATGAATCACAGCCTAATGAAGCCTCTCTCTCTCAGCTAACATTTCGCAAAAAGAATGCCATGATTGCATGGCAGGCTGTGAAAGACATCCCTCATAAGGAAGTAAAAAAAACAGTGATATCAAGTCTCCTATAAGTGAAATGAATCTTCAATTTCTTTTCAATAACTCACTGAAAATTGAAGACTTGGGGGAAAAAAAAAAATCAAATAATAGATAAAAGATTGTATCAACAATGCCTTATACAGCTCACTTAAAATACTTGAAAAATATGAATATTTAAATAGAAATAAAAAGCTTCATTTGTTGTACTGCACAATTTCTCAGAAATAAAGCAATCAAATTAGCATATCACTGATAGACGTCAAAAGCAGCAAGAGAAGATGATAACTTACTAACTATAGATCAGTATGTTTTAAATGACAGAAAACAACATTTTTCTGTATTGCATTACTCATAAATCCTAATTCTTTACAGCAACTTGAAAATATAAGAGTCCTGTACAGAACAGATTTGCCCATCAAATTTTGCCTACCTAGTGTTTTCAAAAGCAGAGTCGTGTGAAGAAGCATTACCAGTGGTGCAACATACTGCAGTGCAATTACACAAAGGTAATAGAATACTCGAGCCACCTGGGAAGACAGAATAAAATCATTTGAGTTCAGAGCAAACCTCTGAACATGCAATTCATTAAGAACAACGCACACGCACAAATGCGATTTTAAGTTTTCTACCATGTTTCAGTGTTATGACCCACCGTCTTCAAAATAACTAATGAAAAAAAAAACCCCTAGCTGATAAGCTCATCAAGGCACTTAAAATTCTGAGCGGAAGCCGTGAAAGAAAGTAAATAAAAATATCTGTTCAGTTACAAAATTTGAAAAAATTCTGCTTATGAACATTGCATATCATTGTTCAAAGATTCCTATTTCACTACACTAACAAAAAATTAGTTTTGACTGTAAATCAAAACTTTTGTTATTTACAAAATAAATTCCACTACACAAACAAGATAGTTGAAATCCCAAGTTTCACCTAAAGTAAACAAAAATTTGGTTAAAAAGGAAGACATGTCTTTCCCAATGTAAAATACCAGCTTTAAAAACAATGACAAGAGGATTTTTCATTAGCAGATAATCAATAACAAACTATTTAAAAGGTTTTTATTTCTTATATACATTATTACTTCTTGAAACCTACTCAGATTTATCACTCTTTCCTCCCTGTAATTTGTTCCATATTTCTCAATATTTTTGCATTACATATTTCATATAAGCTTTTGACCTAAAAGAATATATCTGATAAAGAGGAGAAAAAGTCATAAAAATCAATAGAAAGCAAGCCATGAATTAAAGCTAATCAGATTTTAGAAAATACATAATACAGGGTGGCAAAAAAGATGAAGACAGACATGACATTTTTGGAAGTACCCCTAAAACATGCCAAAGGGCTTTGAGATGAGCAAGCATCAAAACCTAGCATGAGAAAAAAATGCAGTAAGACACTCAGAAAGGAAATATCGAAAATACTGTAAGATAAATGATGAAATACGATAAAAAGAACAAGTAAGAAAGTAATGGTCACCTTCAAGGCAGACAGGAAAGATTTTACGGGCAAGACTTCAGAAGAAAAGGCTAATATGGTAATAAAACAAAACTGTATTTAGTGGCCATGGGTTTCTTAAAGAGAAGATATGTATGTAGTGGATAAACAGACTTATAGAAGACATTTTTGTTTCACAGGTAAGATGAAAGCCTACAAAACTAAGATGCATTCACAACCATCTTCTGTCATACAGATCCATCATAACCAGTCGTCACTACCTGCATTTCATAACATTTACTACAAAGCCAAACACTATTCATTAAACATGTGAAATAACTACAACACAGTCCTCTACTAACAGTAAGATATCCGGCGGCAACAAAGACAGAATTATTAGTGACAGTGACAATTCTAAGAGAGGAGTCCTCATCCCATGGCATATTTCAATATTCCTCGTGGAATACACCCCAGATCAGCAACATCATCAGACAGCACTATCACGCAACACTAGAAATCTAAGTTTAATTTGCAGGTAACATGCAACACTGTTCTACAGCAAGCTTACAAACTTCTACCTTGTCAGTCTGTTCTTATTCATTAAAAAGAAATAATCCAGTCTTTCCTAACATTTTTGACAGTAACAAGATAGGTTAGTTTTGTTGTGAGGCTGGTGCATCACAAGAGTGGTCTTACAGAACTAAATACATCTTATCCCAAAATATAACTAATCTATCTTAAATTTTTGTCTCAATTGAGAAATAACAATTCTTTCTAAACTCAAATTCTTCCTATTTCTCCCACACTACAACAGTTAATTGCCACAGAGCCTATGCACTCCATAGCTTATATCCATGCAACAGAAACAAGAGAAGCATACTGTCTGCCATGGTATTTTTAAAAAACACTTCACAGTGGGATGTCTTCCAATAACACATGAACAGTTTAAGATAAGGTATTTGCATAATATGGTTGACATCTCTGCATATTTTGGTTTAGAGAACTTAGCGCTATTTTTGTAGAAGAAAGCTTCACCCAGATTTCAGTCCTGGTGCCCCAGGAGACACAAAAACTGGAAAAAAAGCACATTAAAAAGAGCAAGCATTCCAAATGCAACCTTAGTCCCACTGTACTTACCATTTTTTGTAAATCCACTGTGCTTATTCTGCCAGCTTCCTTTTTCATTTGATCCACACTTTTCTGAGCTAAATTCAGATAGGCCTGCAAATGACTGCGCATCATAGCCAATCGTAAAGCACACAGCAGGATTATAATCCACAATCTCATGGTGTCAAATGTGTCTTCTGACATTCTGTAGATTAAAAAATAAAAAGCAATGCACCTCCTGTAAAGAAATCTTCAGGCGTGTGGTCAGAAATACTTAATGAACAATTCACAGTTACAAAGTTAATGTGCAAATAAGTATTTGTTTCCATCCATTTCTCTTTGTACTATTACCTCTCAGCAGCCCCAATACAGCATTAAATTTCACTTACTTATGCAAACAATAACAGCTCTTGAATGACTAAATTTGAGTAATGTACACAGAACATTACAAACTACAGCATGATGATTTTAAGATAAACTAAGAAGTAAGAAGTAAAATGGAAGCAAAAAAATCTGTATTTCCAAATTTTATGTAATAGACTGATGGTTACAAATTTGTCTTTCAAGCATCTACAAGGCCTGCTCTGAAATTACTGCCTCCTATTTTACTATGTTGGTGCACAATGTCAGAGGCAGATGTTGGTGTCATGGAAGTAGAGGTTGAACCTTCCCACCAATACACCACTATATTTTGTTGCCATGAGACAGCCGCAGAAGGCAGTCTGACAAAAAAAAGCATCTGATACAGAAATGCATATGAAGCAAAGGTGTGTCACTAAATTTCTCCATGCAGAGTAAAACTGACCCACTGACATTAATTGACACTTGCTGCACGTTTATGGAGACAAAACAGTGGAGGTAGCACAGTGAAATAGCAGAATGCCCCAGCAGTGGTGACAAAGGTGTGAAAGACTAGCCATGTTCCAGACAGTCATGCAGATTTTTACTGAGCACAGCATTCCAGCCCTTGTTCATCAGTGGTGAAAATGTATAACTGATGAAAATGTGTAACTGGTAACTATGCTGAAAAACACTGTTTTGTAGCTGAGTATTTGCCCTATTAAACAGTGTTACTGTGATCTTTCTATTTGTTGTAGTTCCCATGGAAATAAATAGGAGGCATTACTTTCAGAGTGACCTACGTATTAAGCAATAAAACTGACAGCCAAACATATCAGTTATAAGCCTACCCAATTACTATTATTCTGATTTTCCTAGACTAAAAGCAATAGTAACAACCATCTATTCAGTAGAAAACAGTATTTTATAATATAGCATCACTCAATGAAAATCTTCCATTTTTATGCTTTTAAGTATTTTATCTATTAATGAAGCAAAATTAATAGCGAAGCTAGGCACTACACCTATGATTTTGAAACAGTTCTCATCATACTAAGAGCCTTCGACCAGTCCTCATATCTATGCATCTCTTTTGTCTTCAAGACAACCACTCATTTCTTAAACCAATATGTAAGCTGTAAGGTTTTCAACAGATGGTAGTGAGGTGGTACTCCAGACCTAGGAAAAACAACTCATTAGTCTGCCAAAGAGATGCCAGCACATAGTGGCTTTTCTAGAACCATCAACTCAACACTGCGATTCATTCTCCCTCTGAGACAGATGAGCTCTAAAGGGCATACTTTCGATGACTCTCGATACACAATTTCTAGTCTTCCACACCACTAAACTTTCAGAAGGCACTGCTTAGACTGATAGCTTTACACTGAATAACCCCAGAAAGGTTTTAAAGGCAATCTTACAAAGGTATGCTCTCTTTGCCCAAAGGTGGGTTCATAATGTAGTCCTTAGTGATTGGTTTTACCCAGAGAAGAACCATAAATAAAGGTGCCAAGAAGTTTATATGTAGCAGTGTTCTGAAAAAAAAAAAAAAAAGGGAGGGGGAAGGAAGTTGTTAAATGCAAACAATTACCGTACTGTTGAAATTGGCAACAAACTCAAAAAGATAAGTCCAAGTTTTAATATAGTTGAGACAAAGGTAAATAATGAGATTACTTCTCTATTTTTAAGATAATGACATACATTTTAACAAAATATTGTACACTGTGAAACTGTGGTTTTAAAAGCGCTCTTTTAAAGTGTTTAGAAAAAGAATTATTTCACAATCTCATCAAAGCAACTAACTACATGCACCATATCACACTATAGAAAAGACAGTTGTTTAAAAATTTCATACTATAGCATAACACCAAAGTGCAGTAGCTTTTACAGTTTTAATCTAGGCAGTTAGCATCTTAGATGGATAACGTGTCATTAATTTAAGATTTTTTGTTTTATGAAAAAGGTACTTAGATTAATTTCCATTATCTATACAAACCAGGGGAAATTTGCATTCAATTAAAGATACTAACAAAAAAAATACAATGTTTAAAAAGCAAAGTTTAAAGTACTTGTTTAAAGTACAAAACTACACTGTCTACATTGTTAATTTAAAAGGAACTCAACATACAAAACAGTAGATTTTAAAAAAAGAAAATATTATTCTGGAGTTTTCTCTGAAATTAACATAGTTCTTTTATTCCTCCTTTGGACCAATCTGAAGTTCATACCCCAGATTTACAATTCTCAAATAAAATAAGAACAGTTGAAACTTCATCCTGTGATCTGGTATTTTTTACTAGTGCAATGTTTCTTCTCTAACAGAATTGGCTCATTTATATGGCCATCTCCAAAGACGTTTCCTCTAAACTATTAAAAAAAAAAAAATGAGATAACCAAAAGTTATTCTGAAATACTGTACTGATTTCAAGCAATCAAGCTTGCTAAACTCATTCTATACTCACTAAAAAGTTGGAGTGTTTCAGAAGCAGTTACAGCATCACTTAAACCATTGGTTTCATATGAAGAAATAAGCAGCGTAAGTTTTCAAGTACTACTAGGGAGCACAACAACACCAAAGAGCAGTCCAGATTATCTTAGTAACTTGTGAGAACATTTTACTTGAGCTTCTAGCTAAAGACATCCTACTAAGTCAATGGACTGCAATGTACCTAATGGTGGCAAGTCTCCCTTTCTGCTTATTTGAGTAGAAGGAAACAGGTTGATGGATTCTTGTAACAGGTTCTGGAAAATGACTGTATGAAAATAGTACAAATTAAGACAACTCTAAAAAACACACAAAGAATGATACTGCTCACAAAAATCAAACTAGCAAAATTAAAAGTGACATTATTTTTCTCCTACTTTTCTCTAAAATTTATTCCCTGTATATACATCTGTGGAAGAATAATGTTAATTATTTCAACCACACTACTCAAGTGGTAGCTACTTATGTGGGATGTCAATGTTTTCTATACGTCTCCCATTTTATAAATATGGCTTCTCCTCTCTGGTTTCTTCTACCAAGTATAATCCCACATTTGACTGCAAAGAAAGGCATTGTTTTCCCACTTCCAATTTAAAGAGCATTACAGCAGTTACACTCATACTCATTTCCTATTCCCTTTAGTCACTGCCAAACAACTACAAACACTAAGCAATGATCTGCTCATTGACTAAAACACATCACAAAGAGCAAACATTGATCTCTTTAGGGCCCACTGGAAGCTTCCAATGGTAACTCCTCATTTTTAACTCCATTACCTATTTACAGTGCTGAATGATCAACAGTATAAGATTTTTCTTTGTTTTACATTTTTTTGGCTTGAATAGGCAAAATATTAGTAGACATTAAAAAATTGGTTGGTGCTACATAACGTTACCTTCAACAATCAGATTTAATATTCTGTAAACATCAAGACAGACAAGATTTATTTTCCAAAACCTCATACCAGTAATCATCAATCAACCTTTTAGATCTTATCAATCAAGTTCTGTTTCAGAGATTTTATATTCCTGCAGACAATCTCACATTCACAGATCAGGGAATATGCTGGAAAATTACAACGTAGTAGTAGAAAAGGCACAAGAAATTTTAAAATATTTAAGTACATAAAAATGAAAAAATGAGCACTTTATTTGCCTGATAGGAACAGACTGAGAGTTGGTCACAGCCTACATACAGACAGAAATTTAACAGCAGATAAAGCAGGAGCCAAGACCCTGCAGCTCTTAACTGCATGCATTCATCTACAAAGAGCTCAAATCTAATGCAAAGTACTTAGTTAAATATTTACGAAGAGTGAAGGACTCAATTTAAACACAGCTAATTTTTTAAGTTGAGCACTTAAACAGATTTCAGTTTATGCCGAAATATTTATTATATCCAAAAACATAATCATAGAATGGTTTGAGTTGGAAGAGACCTTGAAGATCATGTGTAGTTCCAACGCCCTTGCTACAGGCAGAGACATCTCCCTCTAGATCAGGTTGCTCACAGCCCCTTCCAGCCTGGCCTTGCATGCTTCTAGGGAAGGACATCCACATCCCTGCTAGACAATCTGTTCTAGTGTCTCATGATCCTCACAGTAAAGAATTCCTTCCTGATATCTAGTCTAAATCTAGCCTCTTCCAGTTTAAAACCATTTCCCCTCTTCCAGTCAGTACATGTCCTAATAAAAAGTCCCTCCCCAGCTTTCTTATAAACCCCCTTCAGGTACTGGAAGGCCACTATAAGGTCTCCTTGGAGCCTTCTCCTCTTCAGGCTGAAGAGCCCCAAGTCCCTCAGCCTGTCCTTGTGGAGAGGAGATACTCCAGCCCTCTGATCATCTTCATGGTCCTCCTCTGGACCCACTCCAACAGCTCCGTGTCCTCCTTGTACTGGGGGCCCCAGAACTGGACAAAGTACTCTAGGCGGGGTCTCACAAGAGCAGATTAGAGGGACGCCTCCCTCGACTTGCTGGTGACATAATGTTTCTCTCAGCGAAGTGGACAGACTAAATCATCACAATGGCCTATGCTGTAACATCTGTGTATTTAATATCAATGGTCAAGACCTACAAAAGGCATCTGGTGCTCCTCAGTCAACAAGAGAAAGCTGAAAAAAAAAGTTAAATCTAAGAAAACATTTACTGCTCAAGAGCAGCTGCAAAATAAAATGTTCCTTTAAAGTCATATTAGCATCTGACTTTTTAAAATATTCTGAGTCATAATGTAAGAAGCACAAAATATTGTAAAATGAAGTATTATATGCTAATTTCTATATCTATTAACAGAAGTTTTCATTGAGTTTTAGATTCACTTTAAACATTTTTCCAGTTAGCTGCCCTTCTAAGGCTATTTCTTCCTTTTTTTTTTTTTGTCTATTTGTATTTTTTGTGGGTTTTTGTTGTTGTTGCTGTTGTTGTCTGTGTTTGCCTCTGGATCTTCCCCTATGTTTATCAACAACAGCATGATGCTCATCTATTGGGCTACTGAGGAAAATAAAAAGTCTGTGGCTGTATGTCTTCTTCCACTTAACTTAACTTCCCAAGAAACATGACTGAGGAAAGAAAGCATTATGTAGAAACATTCCTTGTGGTGCTCTAACAGGAGGAAAGGAAAGAAATATTCCTGTAACTGGGACTCTAAACACAAGGCAAAGAATGAAAGACCATCAGAGCACAGGTTGACCAGAAAAGAGGCAGGTGGCAAGTCGGCTTGAGATACAAAATGCAGGCAGCAGCAGAAGTCTTAGTCACTACCTTCGTGTTGGAATAGTTCATTTTATTTCCAGACATCAAAGACTTAAGATTGAGTAGCATATACCTATGTGCGTATATTTTTTCTTACTGTGTTATTTTTTCTGTTGCTAAATTCAGAGCATCCAGATGCATTTGAGCCAGTCGCAAGCCAGGGAATGTCAAAAAAGCACCAATAAGTGAACACAAAACAGCCAGGAACAATTTGAAGGTTAGTTTAGACACAGGACCCCTAAAAGAAAAGAGAGGAAATAAGCATTTTCTTGAGGAGGAAGTGAATGGGCAGGGTATCAGTGATTACGTTCAACAGTATCTAATATTTAATCAAAAAGCAAAAAGTATTGTACAGTTTTACTCGGGAATACCAGCATCATTATAACTCAAGCAGGCACCAAAACAAAAAATAAGTCACCTGTTTATTTAATAAAATGAACAGAAAACCCTCCTATTAAAAATACTTCCTAGTGCAAAAAAACCTCGTAAAAGATGTTAAATTTGTTAGTACAATAAAACAAAAAAAGAGTAACTTTATATTAAAATTAACAACTAATTGTAAAATAAAAAAGCTACCAGAATGAAGTCAGTGGTTATTTTTTTAAGAGAACAGATATATCACAATTTTAAATTTTCATAGTCAAAATCAATGTTTTTTAAATTATATGTTAGCTGCATTCTCCTTTTACCCATTAAGGAGCTTTGTCAAACTTATTACTTTTTTCCCCACAGATTTATCAAACACATACATGTACCCAATTACTTATGTCTCTTCCAAGTAGCCAGTATTGTTTTTTTTTTTTTAATTAACTATGCATTACATCACAATTACTGAAAAAAGTACTAAGGATTAAATGAATTATGGAATTAATAAACTGAATTACAAACATACATACATACAAAAAAATCAAAGGACGTAACAGATTAAAGAAAAACAAAAACAATTCTAGTTATCCACATAAGCTTCAGACTTGTTAGTCCACAACCTCAAACTACCAAAAGACACCACTGTCAACTCAGTCATTCCTATGAACAGCCAAAGCACTGCAAAAGTTTAAAAATAAAGGAATGTTAACAGAAAAATTAACAAAGAAGTTAGTAAAGTCATAATAGCTTAGGTAAAACGGAGTAAAGAAAGGTTAAGAAATACATGGTATTCAGTTAAATGTTTCTCTGGTATTCCTACCTAAAAATGATATATTTTCTACGTAGGCATATTAGAAAGATCTGTTCCACAGAAATAAAGAAATTCCATAGTTCTGGCACAATACTTGAGAACTCCCAACTTAGAAATTGAAAGTTTATCCCTCATAGTAAGGATATACCCCACAACACGTGTCAGCAAATGTGTAAGGACAGAGTTGCACTGAAAGTCCATTTTACAATACACAAAGCCTATCCATGACAGTGGTTGTGTACACAAATAAAATAACAAAAATGGCACAATCCTTTCATAGCCCATACAAAACTTGAGATATCCTGTAGCAAGCAGATGTATTTGTGAAGGAGGAAAATACTACAGAACTTGAAGATGTGAATAAAAGTCAAAATTTCCTCCTAAAGCCAACTTCATCGCAAGCTCCATCTGAAGTGTCTGAAGCTTTTTTGCAAGTTCATCTGCTTACATACCATAGAAACAGCAAAAAGATTTTTTTTTGTGTTAAATAGCTCCTTCAGCACTGCAAAGATTGCTTAAGAACTGTCATGAAAATTGTACTTCTGAATTTATTTTTTTAAATGCTACAGCCAAACTACCAGGTTGGAATCTATCTCTAAATTAAAGAGAAAACAAAGATACTTTGAAATATTGATGGATTATTCTCACTAATACACCTCTTCACATTTTTTTTAGCAATTATAAGCACGTACAACAGCACAATATGCTAGACAAATGCTTGCTAAGAAAATCCAAGTGGTTCAGTTATAAATGCAAACACAATGTAAAACACTGTATTTCCAGGACTTACTGGGATTCCAAACCCTGCTTTTCAAGGAACTGCATAGCACTTTCTGAGAAATTTGAGAATCCTGCGGAGACACATAGATTATATGTATTTTATCACAGTAAAAACAATACTTCCCACCCCTTCTTCCCCCCCACATAATAATACATCTTTTGAAAAGTGTTCATGTTAGGATAATTCTTTCATGCGCTGATTACGCCACAGTACAATAAAACTCGGATATTAACTGTCTTTGATATGTATCTTTGATATGTGTCTTTGTATTTGATACTTCAGCATTTCATGAACATTAATGGAATTAACACTGATGCTTACAGACCAAGTACCTATTCTTTTTTCTTTTTTTTTCTTTTTTTTTTTTTTTTTTTTTCCAGTGAAGGCAGCTCACTGTGCAATGCAAGGCAAAACAGATTAAAAATAAAACTGGAAGGCAAAAGTGAACAAAAAAAAAAAAAAAAAACCAAGCCATTTTACACATCTTAAAACAAAGCAGGAAAAATAGACAGAATATCCTCCAGAAACAGTGTATCACATAACAGAGTTAAAATTAACAGATATATTCTCAAAAATTTCTAAAAGACCTGAAATAAATCTTTCTGGTCATGCAATAAGTAAGACTGTTACAAATACTAAAGAAGGGAGTTACCTGATTCCAGCCCAAACTCTAGATAGTTTTCTGTCACAATCAAAATTGCCATTGCTTTCACAAAGAAGAAAAAGCCAAATGTGACACAGACTGATCTTTCACCTCCTTCCTCTACTTTGAAGTAATGAGTGGTCAATGAAAATAGTACCTTACTACACAAGAAAAAGGTCAAGGAAAATTAAATTGGAAAAATAACAATATTTAAAAATTAGAAAGCTGTATTTTGATCATCTTCACTAAGGATGTTCTACGCTGAGCCAATTCCAGGTTAAAGGACAGTGTAAAGCAGTGATTAAAAAAAATTATGTAGCTAGGAACACACTCCTCTGCAATATCGTTTTAATTTAGGCTAACTTACTGTCAATTGTAGCAATACTCCCTACCATGGGTTATCTTATTTTAATAATAATATATAAGAATATCTGGCTGGAATTACCAGAGAGGTGGTGGATGCCCTATCCCTGAAGAAATTTAAGGTCTGCGATCTGAGCAACTTGTTCTAGTCATAGATGTCCCCATTAATTGCAAGGGAGTTGGACTAGATGACCTTTAAAAGTCTCTTCCAATTCTAATGATTAGAGCACAACTGCAGTATTTGATAGAGCATATTCTCAACTACGAAACACTATTTATCAACAAAGTCACTACCATTAGTTATGTATCATCACCCGCAATGAAACACCCTGCATGCTAAGCTCAGAACAATCTGCACCAGTGAAAGTGATGACTGTGGCTGTCACCACTGCTAAAACATACCATTCACCCCCCACATCCACTTTTTGGTCTCCATAAACAGACATCAGTTAATGTCAGTGGTCGCCATTTGTTCCACAGGAAGTAATTCACTGACACACCATTGCTTCATAGGCAATTTCACGTCACACATCATTTGTCAGACTGCCCCTCTGCTGTCCTTTGTCACACGGTAACATGTGAAGGGATGCTGGTACCAATGTTCAACCTCAACCGTCATACCACCAACATCTGCCTTTGACACTGTGGACCAACATAACAGAAGCAGCCCACATAATTACTGACATCCTTTTGCACCCATGTTCTCAGTTGAAATCAGTCAACCACATTTTTCCAATACTTAAGTCACGATGAATAATTTCTGGCCCTGACATACTGAATGACTAAACAGTTTGGTAGATTTTAGAAGAGTTTCAGCAGCACTGAGGCCTGATATCATAACACAAGAACACAGGAGTTTTCTCCTGAAATCACAAAGATTGCTTCACCAATATCACAGTATTATCACTCATTACATAAAAGCCCTTCAACCCAGCTGTAAAGCTAGGAGTAAGTCACATTAATATGTTTATGTAAGTGTCAGCTCTAATATAAGTCTAGAATGTGCTGCTCAGTACTGCAGACTTCTGTATCACCACCTAAGCTCTCAGACTGGGCAATGGTCACAACGCTCCATTCCATCAGTGCAGGAACCATACAGTCAAATAAAGTCAAGCTCTGTTCAATATTAGAGAGCAGTGATTTCACCAGGATTTCTACAAAATCATCTGCTCTGCAGAGAAGCCTCCCTTAAAAGTAAAGTCTGTTTACTATTATGTGAAAAATAACAAGCAAACAAAAAACCAAAACTCCAGCAATACAAGTTGTACGAAGTGGCACACAAATAGTCCTAACTAGAACATACAACTAATGAATGACCTATTACCAGGTTACAAATTACACATTCCTTTGCGGAGGATTCCCTACCTCTAAAACTATCCAAAAGATAGAATTTTTTTTCTGAACAAATTAAAACCCTTAGAATTTAGGCCTCGCTGTTTGACAACACATTCAAAACAAAAGGACACTCTTGCATACAAGTTTCTTGTTTCCTGGGATTTGTTTCTGAAGGTTTGGTCCTACATACGGTGCCATTCTTCCCCTGGCTTTTCCAGATTTGCTTGTTTTAAGTTTGTCTTAAATTTTAACTTCTTAAATTGTCTTAAATTTTAACTTCTCTTTCACTTTTTCTAACTCCTACAAACTATTAGAAATCCTTAACAATTATCTCCAAAGTATATTATTACAAACAACTCAGAAGAATATTGGTTCTTTAGCTAATACATACTCACGCAAATGCAAAAATATTAAAACATGAAGTTAACTAGTAAGTTACTAAATAAGATTTAGATTCTGGTTGATGATTGCTTGCTTTTAATAATATCCTATCTGATCTTACAATTTAAAAAGTCAAAGTATTTTTACACATCATATCAATATGTGCACCAAACTTAATTGTCATCTAGTACAAAAGGTTCTTTCACACAGAAAAATTATTTGCTTCTGTATGGGAACTGCTAAGTCACGGCCTGAACTCTGATTGATCACCTGAGGTGAGCAATAAGTCAGCCAGAGGAGCACAGGTGCAGGCAATTCTCCTATGCTGCTGGAAGGGGTGGAGCCTGGCTGCACCTCTCCAAGACCTATTTAAGAGCTGGCTACCAGGAGGGAAGGATCTCTTCTGGAGTTTTCTAAGTGAGCCCAGGATAGGGGTAAGCTTTCTATCCTCTTTTTGTTATCATGATCTGCTTTGCCTAACTCTCTTGTTTTTTGTAATTATAACATCTTAATATTCACTGATTATATAGCTTCCAACAATGGATAAGAATCAACTGTCCATCTCCATAGCAGAACTTATACTTGAAATCTGACATATAATTATGGGATTTAATAACATATTTCAAGATGTTTAGGGTGTGAAATGTGCTTCATGCCAGTGTTTTGAGAAACCACAAATTAACTGCTCTTTCTCTTATCAATTCTAACATACACAAGTTTCCCCTCTATCATTCTTCTCTTTCTGCCATGTCGAAAGGTTGGTAAGAAAATACAACTGATGTACTTCTGACATGCAAGGAACATTCACTCTGTTACAACCTCCTTCAGCTCCCAATATGCAGTGAAACCTCAAATGCTTGAACTGAATAAGACAAAGTGAAAAATGGTGGTTTAGGCTCAATTTATATAAAAACAGGTGGTGAGAAAGAAGCAATCAGAAGAAGACCTTGATAATTACTTGTATGTTCATACTACTAAAACAGAAAACTTGAGCTGCCATGTAACTTAATATTTTTAAATTTCTACAATTGGTTTTGCTCTGAATTGACTAAATGAAAGTAGTAATTAGGACTGCCTTAAAACACCACTCTAAGAATGGAACACTGCAGTTGTCTTTCCTATGAAATCTATGCCAATGTATAATTCACAACCACAGTAAAATTATTTAAGCTGGTTATGCCCGAGGTCTAAAAAAGGAAGCAAAAAGGGCACTATCACCAATAAGCTGAACAATGTATGAAGCTTTTTTCCCCATAAATTCATTCATTAATCTCATTCTCCTTCTCATTATGGGAGTCAAAAGAGTTTGTTTTCATCAATTATTTCTTAATAATGTCTTATTCTCTCTGCCAAGATTCCTGACTTTGCCTAACCAAATAATAATATACAAAAAAGGGTGCCTAGTTATATAGCTATAACATCACTAAAAGGTGCACAAGAGCTGATTTTCTGCCAGCTATTTCTTTCCTTAACTTCATCAACTCTGTCACTTAAGTTAGTACTCATGACCAGGAAAATTATGCATTTCACTTGCACTTCAGGCTAGTCAGAAAAGGAATTCATCCTTACTGTAAAGGCACAGAGGAACAAATTTTGAATATGTGTGTGTTATATCTAACTAAGCATTTGATCTGTTTGTCAGTTGTGCGGTACCAAAGGAGTTGCACAGCTTTATTTTCCAGCTCATCTCTCCATAACCTATGCTCCTTGAGAACCTTATCTGATTATTTTGCTTCATTACCTCTCCTATCTTTAAAACCCAACTTTCCTCTCCAAATTCTATCACTGGTATGTGGAAATTAATTATTAATTATAGCAAAACCATGCACTGTCTTTTCTACCAAATGCAAACAGGACAGCTACTTCTTCTTATGGTTCAGTATTGCTTGTTTCCTAAAATACTGTTTCTTTTATTTCCAGAAGAAAATGTTGCTTTTCACAGACCGCTGAAAACACAGTACCATTTTAGCTCCTATAACTGTCTATACATTTTATTTTGCACTGAATTTAAGAGAAATAATAATCTTTTGAATTCTGAAGTTATGAATTCATGCATGCAACTTTGCAACAAATGATGATTTACATTATTGTATTACTTAGTTCAGAAAGTATGAGGTTAAACATAACAGAAAAGCCAGGCAGTAAACTGCGTGCTTCTTCAAAAATTACAATCTGCATGGACAGCAACATTTGCCCACCCTGACAGTCAAACATTAGCTCAGAACAGCTACACATTACATTAATTCTATATTCACAGAGCTGTATTTTTTCTATAAATGGTTTGGTATAAATGTTTATATGCTATTTATATCAGCATAAAGAAGCATGCTACAGCATATACATTACCTGAAAATGATGCTAGCTACAATTCTTTTTCCAAATGGTAAATTTTATGTATTCTCTAAAACAACAATAGAGAGCTTTCTACGAACTGCAGCATGATGGAATTGGTAGAATGATATAAGAAAACAGAAAAGGATACACTGCAAAAGCCAAGACAAGTAGACACCACACTACACTGATATTCATTTCTTGTGAGGGCTTCACAATGCTGTAATACACTTCAGTCACCACATACACAACTGTAGCTGCAACAGTGAAATCCACCAACCACTGATATTCAGGAAAGTAATGTAATGCTGAAAAATACAAGTTTGCAAACATTACAGCTATGATATATACATATCATATGCAGAACACAATAACAATCAAAAATTGTTTTCAAGTAACTGATCTAGACGTAACAAGATCATGGAAGTTAAGATCATCGACAACAAAAAAGGCACGCTTTTTTTCTATTTGATAGCCTCTCCTTTTAATTTGTATTTCTCTCTTCAACTCAGTGAATATTCTGGGTTGGTACTAAGCAATTTGATAAGGTTACAAGATTTTATTTAGCATCTCAGCTTTTACACGTTGATCTAATTAACTCAAAGATTATAACCAGTTTAGATATCAATATCATGATAGAAAATGGCTCTTTCCTTTAGTTACAGTTCTAAGGGTTCAAGATTAAAAGGTTACTGGCTATCACTTTATATAAATAATATATATTTATATATTCTCCTAAAAAAAAAAAAAAAATCCAAGCCATTCAGAGTTTGCTCAACATCACTAATGTCTTCTGCATGGTAATAAACCACTGATTCCACCTAAAAATTCTGGGGACCATACTGGCAGGCTGGGTTATTTACAAAGAAGGAGCTCCTGAGAAATGTGAAGAACAATTCATGATAATAAAGCCCAGCCTGTCCCTCCCAAACACATTACCTAGATCATGAGAGTTAAAAAGAAAAAAACACAAACACTACGCAGTGTTTGTCTGCTGACTAAGAGATAGCTGATGACAAACACAACATATTGGTTAAATTCAGGTATTTCCAAGTCCTATACTTATTCTGAAATAATTACTTTTATTAGATTTAACATGCTTGTATGCTTAGTTCTTTAAAACTAGTTAAGTGTTCAACTGCATTCATATCTATAAACACTCAGGAAGACACTTAGGTGCTGTATACAGCACCTGCATATGAGAATGTAAATAAGGAAAAATATATAGCTTACGTGCATAGGAAAGTCTTAAGGTTACATATGTAAAGAAAGTTGGTTATCATTAAGGAATCAAAAATTATTTTAAAAAATAAGCAACTTTCAAAACATTTAACATTGCTTGTTTCTGCACTGCCATTTTTGGCACCTAAGCATTTTAAGTCAGTTTTGTTTGTGTAGGTCTAGGTTTCAGTGCAATAGTACATTTCATATTTTAGGCCAGCAGAAAGCATGTATTTCAAGATCAGTCAGTTACCATTTTCTCATACAAAGACTGTTTCAAATAGACCGTGATGGGATCCTTTCTGTTGTCTGATACTGCTTTGGATGCCTGAATGCAACAATTTTTGCAATCTCATTTAACACTCTTTGTATCGGTTGTAATCCAAAAATATGTTCCAGCATTTACTGCAAATAAATACTTGATAGAAAATACCACAATGTATTTGATATACTACATCATTGTCAGCATCCTTATTCTTACCAATAGTGTCCCTTTCAGTCACAGACTTCGTTTCCAGATGAAGATCAATATCTTTTGGAATGGTTAAAGGCTTGTTTTCAATGTGACCATTATATTTTCTGTAACAGAAAATACATATGTAGATTAATAAAATAAACAGACTCCACAAAAATCAACTTTTCCTTTGTATGTATAGCACCATTTCAAATTTAAGAATTCAGACTGCTATTCCCTTAACTGCAAACACTTCTCTCTAGTTTGCTAAAAGCAATAATTCATAAAGAGTTAAACAACAAGGCACGCCAATAACTACTGGGTTTATCTTGTAACGTTCTAATACACTGTGGTGGTTAGGCACATTGGTCTAAGTAGCTTCCATGCTGTATCAAAGTCATGCATTAAGACAGGAGCTGGTGGGTACTGTTTGCACCATCCCACTGTTAGACAGACAGGAATCTGTAATGATATAATAAGTAACCCCAGCATCAACAGGTATGAGTACCACTATAGAGAAGAATACATCTGTCCTGCCAAACAACTACCCTGAAGAAAATTGAAGCTGAAGTGATGCTTTCCAAATGAAGTCTAGGCAAGGTTCCAAACCCATTCCTCCCCAAAAAAAACAGATTTCCCAAAATAGCATTAGGCTTTTAAGTTTCTTGCCTAAGCTAGATTAACCTAGATCCTTGAGAGATGTATCCTATCAGCCATCAATAAAAGAACTGTAAGGCAGTTTTCTAATTTAAAAGGATGGCTGCAAAAATGGCTTTGACCTATTTCAATTCATATCCTGCTTGCATAGTAAAAAGTAAAAAAATAAAAATAAAAATTAAAAAAAAATAAAAAAGTTAAAAAAAAAAAATTTTAAAAAGTAAAAACAATTATCGCTGTATTAATAGCAACCCTAGAGATATAGTAGGCCTTGAAAAGAAATAAGTACATCATGCTCTTTGGGAGGAAATAGACAAAACTATCCATACTCTGATGTTGAGACAGGGCAGGTTCCTGATTTTAGCCATTCCTGCAGAGCACAACAGATACACAGAGGCTTTAAGAAGAGCTGCAGAGAGATTAACTTGCTCCTATCATGTGTGCACAGGTGGAAAGTTTTTTATATGAAGGGAAAGACTAAGACAAAGGCTGATTGTCACATTGCTAAATCCTTCTTGGCTTCTAGCATTAAGCAATCTGGGGATAATCTAAGCCAGGTATTACATCTTCTGAAATATCTTGTTTTCTTTTCAACATTAATTTATTCAATCCCTTTCTGAAACACTGAAATTTGTTGACCCGCGCAGCTAATTTCACAATGTTCGTCCCACATTAAAAAAAAAACCTGATAACTACCCTACTTAACTTCATTCAGCATCTTCTTGTACAACATACTTTACTACTTTATACCCACACACTGTGCCCACTCCATACATACCTGTGTCTTTGCATGGAAGCCTTACTTTTAGCTATCATCATTCCCCCTTTCTAGTTCCACTGAGTTATCTTCCAAATACAGTATAAACAAAAATGTAATATATAATTTGAAGCTTTTTTATGCTTCTCAAATTTCTGGTTCAAATAACAGTTTTGAACAATGTGTTGCATGTTTCCAAAGAGATAAAGACCAGAAGGGCTACTTAGAGCAACAAGAGCACTTTTTTTTTTTTTCTCCTGGAGCTTGGAAACTATATTTCCTGGGGTGCATTAAAAGGAGTATGGCCACCAGGTCAGGGGAGGTGATCCTCCCCCCTGTACTCTGCTCTGGTCAGCCTCACCTGGAGTACTGTATGTAGTTCTGGGCTCCCCTGTAGAAAAATGACAAGGATTTCCTACAGAGAGTGCAGCGGAGGGCCATAAAGATGATAAAGGTCCTGGAGCATCTCCCCTTTGAGGAAAGGCTGAGTGAACTTGGTCTGTTCAGCCTTGAGAAAAGAAGACTCAGAGGGGATCTGATTAATGTTCATAAATATCATAAGCATGGGAGTCAAAGAGATACGGCCAACCTCTTTTCAGAGGTCTGTGGGGACAAAAGGAAATGACCGTAAACTGGAGCACAGAAAGTTCTGCACCAATATGCGAAGGACCTTCACAGTGAGAGTGACAGAACACTGCAACAGGCTGCCCACAGAGGTTGTGGACTCTCCTTCTCGGAAGACATTTAAGCCCACGTTGGTGCCAACCTGTGCAGCGTCCTGTAGGGTGTCTGCTTTGAAGGGGGGTTGGACTCGATATGCGGAGGTCCCTTCCAACCCCTACAATTCTGTGATTCTGTGAAAATAAGCCATACAAGCTCATAACCCCCTAGAGGACTACAATAGAACAGTGTACTTTGCCAGATTTCAAAACAGCACCTCTGAAATCAGTGAAGGAAAGGTGGATTTTCCAAAGAAAGAAGAGTTACTGGTACATGAGCATTAAAAAGAAGTTTATTCAACTATGAATATGTTTTTAAAGAGTAAAGTCCTCTTAATTCACATGTAAGCTGAGAATACAACCAGAAAGAGTCAGTAAGCATTATTTTTTCATGTGATAGTAGTTCTTACTATCACTCAAAGCACAAGAATTTTAATGGACAAATTGAAAAATAAGGACAAAAATCTAAAGCAACTCTCAAAAATGTGTCTACATCTAAATGAGGACTTGCCAATAACACCTTACTACAAATAACTGCCTTTTATAACTATTTTCTTGGTTACGAATTAATGTATTATATCAATCTGATAATTGAGTGACACCAACAAAATCTGCACAGACACAAAACACTGCATCACATTTGAAGCATTAAATGTAGCATTTTAATAGTTGAAAAGTGATTTGTATTTATGTGCCTTCAGATACAGTTTCCTGCTACTTTTCACAGCACGTTTTCCAAAGTTTGAAAAGTTAAAGCTTAGATATCAGTACAAATTAACATGCCATGTTGCTACTCAGTAGTGAGTATGCAATTGATCATATGTGAAAGTGAAAGTGAAGGTGCTTTGGAAAGCAGAAGATTGGCAACACTAAGAAAAGACATTAGCAAAGTAAAATTATTTTGTATAAGGCTCCTATTTATGGACTTAAGCATTTAGTTCTGTCATACCAATTATTTTACATATATTACTGATTAGATGAACACATAAAATGTAATGCTATTCACAGATCTTTTAACAAGTTGAAGGAAAACAAGAACGTTGTTAGATAATTAATGCCTGAATTTAAGAGTATCGTGACAAATACGTCACAATATGAAAGAATGTGACATATGAAAGAAAATGAAAGATACTTACATTACGGGAACAACTTAAGTCTTTATCCAAAACACAACAAATAAGTTTCCTGAGTAACTTAAAAACTCCAGGAAAAAAAAAAAAAGCATACAGAATAGACTATACATGGATTAAAACTGGTGTTAGGAATTGTATATCAGTATTTCATATCAGAGTTAAAGGAAAAGGACTAAAGGAAATCAACAAGAAAGAGTGCATTTTGCTGTTTATTTTAAGCCCAGCCAATTCTGATTTTTTAAATTTATTTATCTTTCAATTACCACAACAAGCTCTACCACCTCATCATCACTCTTGGCTCTTGGGAAGTTCTACTTCTGGAAAGTCTGTTGGAGACCTTCATGATTGTATGTGAGAATCTTGTTTCCAGCTGAAGCTGATGAACATCTATCTCATCATTCCCCATTTTCTTTCTGCTAGGTTAAACAAGTCAAGCTGTTCCAGATGGCTCTTGTAAGACATGCTGTTTCCTGCCTGATGCTAGTAGCCCTTCTGTTCACCTATTCAAGTCTGAATTTATTCTTCTTGAACATGAATGACCAGAACTTTTCACAATAATCACAACAAAATTCTACACCAGTGCTTCGTGCAAGGGGACTAATACTTCCACTGGAAGTAACTCAATAAATTCTAGGAGCACATTTACTTTTATCACAGCTGTGTAAATGCGTAATGATCCAGAACAACAATCCTATATCAAGTACATTCAAATCTTGCCTAAACATAAGGACCTTCAACCCTACAGAAGATTTGCTTTCCTCAGACTCCATAACACGGGTATATTGATTAAAAAAACCTCTGTAACCTAATTAGCAATTTCACAAACAACATTTAAGAACTGGGAATCATTCACTGCTGCACAATTTGGAAATTCTCTAGTAAAACAAAAGAACACAGTTCAGTACAGAGCTGTGACGATACATGTATTGCAGTCCTATGCAACAAGCAGTTTTATAATCACAGAAGACAGAAACTGTCCAAAGCTGTCATACAAATCATACCAAAAAAAAAAAGTGTAGGAGAAAGAAGCTTAAAACAAATACTTACCTATCTTTCTTGCTTTTCCCTCTTTGTTTCCCCGCAAGAATCCGTAGTTCTTCTTCAGTAGGATGTTGATACCATCGTAAACTAAAGGAAAAGAAAATCGCAAATAAAGCCTCATCAGCACTAGCAATGTAGAATGATTTAAAACAACAACAACAACAAACAAAACATAACTATATATAAACACAGATCTATATATACACTAAAATAGCAGTCATTTCCAACATCTAAAAAAATACCCTGCTTGGACTGAAAAACAACAACTGACCTTCACTTCTCTTCAGCACAAGTTACTTACCAGATACCATTAGAAACACATGCTACCCCTTCACAACAAATCCTTCACTTCTCAAAGCAGACAACTATTACCCAACTTTTTTCTTACAGTCAAAATTGTAATATCTGTATTTCCGCCCTAAGCAACATCACCCTTGTGATACCTTCAACACTTATTAGGAAAAGGACAGCAGCTTACAAAAGCACAGATAGGTAAACGTTAAAATACGTACCTGCTGTCTACAAAAATATTTGCATATTCTACTATCTCTGTTATGGATTTCACACAAGAGTTATTCAAAAAAACAAAATTCACTAATTTGCATATAAACTGTACAATTTTCCACTTTCACCCATAAATGCACCATCTATTTATTCATTTATTTAAAAGGCAAGTGGTGGCAAGGAAATTCTTAAGTGGGAAAAAAAAAGATGGCTCAGTCTCAGTAACTTTATTCAAACTTCTAAGCAACAACCTTAGTAGCTCAAGCACAATCTTGCGTACAGCAAAGGTGAGGTGTCCTTCAGATTTTGGATGGCTGTCACTCTGATTCTTCTGCTAAAATGTTAAGGCAAAGAAGTCCAACTATGCACAGAAACATACTTGGAAAATTTATCAGTCTTAATGTACGAGTATTTTTCTTGAGAAAATACTTCTTTCTTGAGAAGGGCGCTAATTTATGATACAGTTTAATACAACGTAATAATGAAGAGAGGGCAATGGTATCCATAACTATTATTATTACTCAAGTTAGAAAATTTAGTATGCTAACACAAAACAAGAATACTTAAACCACAACTTGGCCTTCATTACACTACAAAAAGCATTGCAAGTAATTCAAAATTACAAGTAACAGAAGTAATAGTATACAAAAGGGTGTTGTAGTTGTTGTTTTTAATTTAATAAAGCTTACGGGTCTTCAATTTAAAAATCTCAAAAACAAAAAAAAGTGAACACATTTTCATTAAGTTAGAGGTTGGGGAAAAAGAAGTTTGCATTTCCTTTAGTGAGTTTAAAACTGAGACAACTGATTACTCTGTAGCTTTGATAGAGTTTACTCTGAAGACCTGTACAAACATGCCCCAGTTAATTTGAATGATTGCCTTTAATGACTGTAGAACAGAGCATCACTTTTCTCCTGAAGTGGCTTGGAAATAGGACAAAAGAGGCTGAGAAAAGCAACATTTTGGTAGAGCAGACTTACTAACAAAAAACGCAAAGGCCTGGGTAGATACTTCAGCTGCCAATTCACTGTCTTCAAAAAATAACGAATGTTCATATTCTGATCAAGTCCTGAAAAGGTTTGTATTCCCTTTCAAATGTAAGTAAATTGTGTTTCAGCAGTTAAAGATAACCATCCACCCTACAAATGAAAAAACAATTTCTGTCTGTCTATTCTAACAACTATTTTAAATTCTGAGCTGTTTATATTCCATTTTAATGGACACATATCGACATCTTGAAACCAGCTGGCCACTTGAAGGTTCTGCATTTTCCTCATAAAATGTTTACCTTCTCTCCTCTTTAGCAAGGACTACCTCCTGAAGATATTTCAGATTACTTCTTTAGAAAAGTCTCCCAACTCTTCCAAAGAAAAACATTCAGGCCAAATAACTTAAATTGGCTTTGGTGATTACAATCTAGTTGAAAATAATATATTGACAGGAAAGGACAGAGATCTAGTAACTTTTCTTTGGAAAGCTGGACTTCACTGTGTGAACTTCACACTCCACCACCCTGCTTATGGAAGTCCATCTAAGAAAACACTTTGCAAATGGACGATGCTTAAGAAAATAGGTTTATATATGCTCATCAGATAAACTACAAAAAAAAAGTTTTCTTTCTGACATTAAAATTCAGATTCTTGTTTCAGTAAAGCTCCTGACGATTTTATTTCTGAAACACAGAAGTATTCACAGCTCTTTACAAAACTATAGCATTCAGAACATTATTCATAATGACTGAAATTACAACACACTAGAATAGTTACCTTATGAATAGTATGCTGAAAAGCAACAATGAGATTTTCAAGGTTACTAACATGAAAGGCAATGAGACACCCACTGACCTCAGTGGGAGCATAATTCCAAAGCACTAGCGCAGAAATTCTGCTTTACGTACTTATCTGTATGCGTACAAAGATTAAAAACAAGAAAGGGTGGCCAAAAACATATTTGAACAGCAAATCTTTCACTGGCACAACATTTGCCTTAGAATGTGAATACAGAGACTGAAAATGGCATTAGAATGAAGGACACAGGCATAATATTGAGCAATCCTTAAAAAAAAAAAAAAAAAGTTCTGAAATGGTCATTGAGACAAATGTTTTAAATGCAATATAGAAAGTAGACTATATCATTTGAAATATAACTGATACAACACTCTGAGAGGAACACTATAAACATGGAAGATACAAAGTTTCACACTCATTGAAAATTTTCTAGAGCTCACTTACAGTATAATATTCTTTTTGGAGAAAAAAAAAGAGGTTGTCAATACCCTGCAAGTGTGGTCAACAATGAAACTTCTCAAAACAGCTAAGAGTATGATTCCCATTTGCATCATCTGCACACTGATTACTGTTTTCCATTCCACCTCACCACTGTTATTGTGATACTTAACACACATTTGTGTTTTAAGTGTCACATTAGTGACATTTTTTGTTGGCAATCATTTGGAAACTGAAAAGGGAAAAACGATGGGGAAAAAAAAAAAAAAAAAAAAAAAAAGGCATGCCAAGATATTGAGGAGAAAAAAAGCAGTGGAAAACTATATAAGATTAGGTAAGACAATTTTGGAATACACTATAATTTAAGGAAACTCCTTTAGAAATCAAGGAGCAGAGCTGTAGTGTTCTCCAAAGTTTAACAATTCCAAAAGACATCATAATATCTCCTAATCATCTCCTAATCATTCAAAGTGTTTTTCTTCCCAGTAGAAAAAACGAAGCATCTGTTTCTTTTAATATTTAAGATACTTAATCATATTCAAAACCTGCCATTTTTATTTATAATGGATACTGTCACACAGGGAATGCTTCTCTTGCAACATTTTATACCTGTTTAAGCTATCATTATGAAGTCTATATTGAAATTTATAGTAATCCTGTCCTATGAAGTTCTCAAAAACACAATTTTTAATAAATACCTAAGCACTCTGTTTATGCAAGGCTAATAAGTACAATTGTAACAAATACTGAGAAAGAAGTCCTTTGATTCTCAACAGAATTTACTTTAGCTTTTCAATATTAAATTACACAGCTTGTACCTTTGGTAAGGTAAGAGCTGGAAAACAGCTAGCATTAACACAATTAACAGCAACAAGTCTATTCTTTTACACCTAAATACTTTGAACCTGCAAGTCAGGTGTCACTATGCTGAGTAAAGTTCAAGAACAGCAAGTAGATCAATTACTTTTCAAGACAAACCAAACTAGTAATGTTTCTACTGCAATGCATAGTTGCTTTACCACATTCACACCCCACGTATCAACAGTTTCGTATCTTACCTGCCGCTACAGAGAAGCCAACGAGCAAGAGAATAGTGAGGTATGATCTTCTGTATGACACTAGCCATTACCATGGTAACCACCAACTGCACACCTATCACACCCTGCAGAGGAATAAGTTAACAAGTCAGTACGTGCTTTTAAAATCTGCTGAAGTAACTTTTTGGTTTTTGTTCCTGTATTTTAAAAACACCTTCACGTAACAGGGATAATATATTTTTTTATTTTTTAATCTAGAAGGTAAAAAACTCATGCAATATCAGTGTTCAGGAAATCCCCTGGACCTGCAATAACCCACCACATCCTTTACCAAAAGAAAAAGGCATCACAAGGCCAGCAGCATCAGCACCCTGCCAGCTTCCAACAGAGTGCCTTAGCTCAATAAGTTGGGATGCCACATGTTGATATGGCACTCCACAAGATACTCCTCTGTACAATTAAATCACTCATCACAGTCGTGCTGCTTGTGGTCTCTTTCTCTTCTACATGATTTAACACCTGACACCCTCCAAATCCACCAGAGTTCACCATTGACAACATCCATCTCTTGAAATTTAAGCCTCCAGTTAATACAGAGCATTTGCTCCTTACTGCATGAATGGCATAGATGGTGAAGGGAAGGTGCACAATAATCAGTGTAACTTATGTATTGTATTATCTTTTCTCTCTTTCAACAACTTTTTTTCTGTTGTTCAAATATATCAGAAATTGTGCCGTCAATTCTGCTTTCACAAAAAATTACAGTCCAATCAAACACAATGGCTGATGCCCAATACCATCCTTAATGAAACACAATTTAAAAATATCAAGATAGCATAAACTACCTTCCATTTGTAATCACTGGAAACGAATGTTACCAGACTTCTCATAATGAGGTTTCAATTATCAATTCCGACACTTGTTACATTTATCAATTATCAATTAAGTACTTGTTACATTTTGTTACATTTTTACATGAAATAACGTGTTTGCGTTTTCTTCAGCTGTTCAGGCCTAGAGCTTACTAATAGAAGGAAGAACAAATTTTTACTCTATCTGATAGCACAAGGATAAGGGGGGTTGATTTTAAACTAAAAAAGGAGAGATTTACACTCAATATTAAGGGAATTTTTTTTTTTCTTCAAAGGGCAGTGAGGACCTGGCACAGCTGCCTAGAGAAGCTGTGGGTAACCCACCCCTGGATGTGCTCAGGTTGGACGGGGCCCTAGGCAGCCTGAGCTGGGAGAGAGCAGCCTTGCCCACAGCAGGGGATTGGAACTGGGTGGACTTTAAGGTCCCTTCCAACCAAAACCATTCTGTGATCAAAGTCTCTCCAGTGGTCTTACACACTTTTCCCTTCTTGAAATTTCAACTGCTTCCTTAAATAGCCACCATCAATTCTTTGATACACCTTAAAAGAACTGATTTCTGAAGCTTCCCTTCAGCAAGACCAGGGATTACTGCAATAAATTTTTGCAAGGAGCCAGTAATAGCACAGATTGTGATATTTCCTCTAATAACATACTATGTGGAAAACACATTTTGCTATCACTTACCTGTATATACTTACGCACAACTTATTTACATGTATATTAATACACTCTGGAAAAAATATATATCATCGCAAGCTATCTTTAATCACAGAATTGCTTTTCCCCACAGAAAACCACAAAACTGAGGGATTGTTCCAATTCAGGTTCTACCTAAATCAAAGCTCCCACACACTTTTAAGTCCTCCCATTACCACTAGTATTAGTTTTGATACTCATTTCAAGAATGAATACAAAGGCAGATTAGTTCCAACCAATATCGTCTGCTTTACTTGACATACTCTTAATTAGCAGACATGGTTCAGAATTTAAAAATCTATCCCTACTTAATAGAATATAGCTTGTTTAAAGGAGAAGACATTAAAGGACGAAGCTCTTTTACAAGACACAATCTTTTGCAAGAAACAATGAGCACAAACTGGAACGCAGGATGTTCTGTCTGAAGACGGGGAAGCTTCTTCTGTGCTGGGCAAGCGACAGACTAAACAAACACTAGAGACAGAAGTCAGTACCTTACAGATCAGACACTTCTTTCAACCTATATACAGCTGAAAATCCCTCAGCCTCAAGGTAAGAAGACTATAAATCACTTTCTCTTCAAAACAGGGGCTGGTTAATAACCCCATGGTCAATGCCTCAAGCAAGACAGAACAACCAGACAGTGACTATAATGCCTAATAAGTTGCAGACTTGTGTTTTCATTTCAGAGGAAGATCTTTGGTCAGAGGTCTTTCAATATCTTGATTGCTCAATTCCAGGACCTTGAAGTACTTATGGCATCATTATTTCTGTTTGTGCTATAGAGAACATATTTTATAAGAAAGCTTTGAATAAAACATAATAAAGAATTCCTAAGCAGTCTACAACGGAAGTGTTTGCAGTTACATTAAAGAATAAGACAGACACGCTCTTAAAATCTAGAAAAACGACAGGCCCAAAAGGCAGTACGGTAAGTTTGAACAAAGCGCAACCTAGATTTCGGCCTTCACAGTCTATACCTCTAGCACTACGTAGTTAGAGACAGTGCTACTGATAAACAAGAGAACAAAAAGTAAGAATAAGTATGATAAAGCTTCCATACTCTTATCTACAAATAAATGTGCACTTACAACACAAACATAGCTACCTCATAATATTAACAGAAAATATGAACACTGTTAAAAGTACTTCTTCCTAGAGTATATTTTTATATTTACAGAACATGCAAAGCAAGAATAATCAAGGTTAATTGTTTTATCAAAGATAACTCTTCAGACCCCACATTTTGACCTTGCCCAAGGTTATTCTCCCGCTCTGACTGTACCACATTAAGTTTTTTCCCTTGCCATATCACACAGATATGCACTACTAATATTCAAAACCTAGGTTTAGTCAGGGTTTCAAAACTACTGTCTGTAACAATATTTATAACAGCCACCACTACCCCCATACTCTCACCCCTTTCTCCCCCCAGTTGCAGGATGAAGGCCACGATTTGAAGCCAGCAGTTGCATACACTGGGATTACTTGGCATAGTACACCAGCCAAACAACGACATGCTTGAGAGAACAGATAGGAGAACACAGCTTCATGTTCAGAACTACAATGCCAGCTACTCATTTCTGAAGCAACAATTCTTGTAAAAACATGTTTGTTTTACAGAACAAATGATGCATCAGGTGGCACAGAGAATACAGAAGGAATTCAGAACCAGCAACTGCTCACCTCCATGTGCCACTTCTGCCTCGGCCAGTGCTTTCCTCATGTTCAAAGGAGGGTCGTAAACTGGTGGGTAGGAGTCAGAAGCTGTATGACTCCCTCTGAATCAAGGAGCATTGTTTAAAAATCAAACTACAGTCTTGTCAGCCAACATCATTTTATCCTCCATGAAACAAGAAACAAGAGTGCTCCCTAAACACCACAATTACAGAATTAAGGATCATTAGGAAAATCAAACTACTGTTGTAGAAGTCTCATGACTGGAACCAAACCACTTTTGAAGTCGCAGAATTATCATTACTACTGAAGTAATCAATAGAGAACGTGCCTTGGGCAGAAAATCAGTACATATTCAATGCAGTATTAAATTACAGGCAAAACCAGTTCGGAGAATTGATCTACAGCGGAGGAAAAGAAGGTAGAAGATTATGTTAAAAGACTTTTAAAATCTACCATAACTATATTCACCTAATTGACACATAAACTGTGGAAGCTCTCACCCTCACAACCATTAACTAATTTTATAGAAGGCTTTGCCATTGCAAGAATCATTCCAAGAACAAGTGGAAAACATCTAATGTCTCTGCAGTACAGCCTAAACGCTATGGCAGAATTAAAATGCTTGCACAGAATTGTGAACATAATGAGCATTACAGGTAGAAAGATCAGCCCTGATAGCCACAGCTAAGAGTTGTACAGCCAGTCAGTTGTTGCGACAACTGTTTGTGAGCCTACTGATAAAAATGAAACCGCTGTACATTTCATTCTGCCACTGAGTCAGAACTGGAGAATGCAGCTTTCACACAGCCTACAGATAGACTACCAAGGACTATATTTTCAAGTGACTTGCATCTTTCTTGTGATTCCATAACATCTGTCGATATAGCCAGCAACTATTACTTGCTCAAGTGGAAATGATTTCTCAAGCTTATAGGAAGCATTTAATGGATTGCAGCGTAGAGTGCTGAGGGAGCTGGTGGATGTCGCTGCCAAGCCACTCTCCATGATCCCTGACAGTCCTGGCTAACTGGAATTTCCCAGCAAACTGGAGACTGGCAAATGACGCCCAACTTCAAAAAGGGCCAGAAAGATGATCCTGGTAGCTACAAACCTATCAGTCTCACATCATTGCCAGGGAAGATTATGAAGTAGATAATTTAAAGAGCCATCACGGATCTACTAAAGGTCAACCAGGGGATCAGGCCAAGTCAACATGGGTTTACGAATGGCAGATCCTGTCTGACAAACCAGATTTCATTCTATGACAAGGTGACCTGCTTAGTTCATGAAGGTAAGGCTGTCAATGTGGACTACCTGGACTTCAGTAAAGCCTTTGACACTGCCCCCCACAACATTCTTGTGGAGAAGCTGGCTGCCCACGGTTTGGATGGGCATACGCTCTGCTGGGTGAAACACCGCCTGGATGGCAGGCCCAAAGAGTTGTGGTCAGTAGAGTTAAATCCAGCTTGTAGCTGGAAAGCTGCCTGATGGAAAGGGACCTTGGTGGACTGATGGGCAGTTGGCTAAGTATGAGTCAGCAGTGTGACCAGGAGGCCAAAACACCAATGGCATCCTGGCTTGTGTCAGGAATGATGGGGTGAGCAGGACTAAGGAAGTCATCCTGCCCCTGTACTCAGCACTGGTGAGGCCGAGTACTGTGTTCAGTTTTGGGCACCCCAGTAAAGGTCACTGAGGTGCTGGAGGAGGCCCAAAGAAGGGGAAAAAGGGCTTGAAGAACATGCCTTGCAAGGAGAGACCAAAGAAACTGGGCTGTTTTGTCTGGGGAAGAGGAGGCTGAGGGAAAATCTTACTGCTCTCTTCAAATACCTGAAAGGTGAGTGCAGCCAAAGTGGGGTTGGTCTCTTCTCACTGGTGACAGGATGAGGGGAAATGGCATCAAGTTGTGCCAGGGAAGGTCTAAGTTGGATATCAAGAGAACCCTTTTTACAGAAAGGTTTGGTAAGCACTGGAATAGGCTCTCTAGGGAAAGTCACCATCCTTGGATGTGCTTAAAAACCATCTGGATGTGGTGCTCAGGGACATGATTTAGTGTTGTTAGAGTTACAGTAGTTTGTTTTGGTTGTGGTTGGACATGATGATCTTTGAGGTCTTTTCCAACCTGAGCAATTCTATGATTCTAATGGTATTCAATTAAGGGTCACATTGAAAAGAAAACCAAGTAATTGTTTACAACTTCCCAAAATAGCTCGAAGTGGAGTAGTGGGACAACGGTATCCTACAAATAGGAGGAATATTACAGGAATTTTAGAGTCAATATTCTATCCTTAAAGGAAAAGTAGGGGGGAAAAAAAAAGAAAAAGAGAAGGAAGAAGAGGCACAGTGGGGAAGAAAACAGCACAGTTCCTTTCACGTTCGAAGATGTACATAATAAAAGAACAGATAATTAGAATCAGCTTATTAAGTATTCCAGTGTTACAAGACTTAAGTATCTGATTTCACCCAAAGCACAACTTCAAAGTGGAGATAAGATGCCAAGCAAGTTCTGTGGCACTTGGACAAATGCTGTCCATAGCTAAATTGATGTACTGACTTTTATAGCCATAAGTACTAATGGAACATACAGAATATATATTTATACCAAGAATCATACATCACTGTGGTGCCCAACCATATGTGGAATAGGTATCTTGAAAGGAGACCCACTCCACTCAGATAACGCAGGTATTTCATACTGTAGTTAAGGCCAAACAGAGGGCCCACCCCGACTTTATACAGCAGCGATGCACTCACACCTCTACAATTCAATCTACAGACACCCATGCTGCCTGTATCACTACACTAACTACGCCAACCAGGCTTTGCTCTCTTGCTGCTATCCATCGAAGCTAATTTTCCGTGTATTATCCCACGTGCAACGCCCGCACTCAGTTAGAAAAAGCAGCCCGATTCTTCCATAAACCTAGGATTCCAGCATGCCGCCCCACACACACACAGCCCCGTCGAACCCCGGGACACCGAAAAAGAAGGAGCGTTAAAACCAACCGAAGCGTTCGGCAGAAGTTTGCAGGTAATTCCCAGCTCACACAAAGTCACGCCCTGCCCCCTGCGCCGCGACCCACCGCCACGCTCACCATGCTGCTCCAGCCGGCGCCGCCCGCCGCTCCAGCCGCCCGTCCCGAACCCTCTCGCAGCGCATAAATCCGACTCCCGGACCCGCTCCGCCCGGCCCAGCACCGCTCCGCTCCGCCGCGGCGGCCCAGCGCCCCGCCAGGCCCCGCGCCGGCTGCAGACGGCCGAGGTCACGCAACGGCCCGCCGGCGCCAGGTCCCGCCGGGCTGCCCAGAGAAACGCCTGAGCGAAGGTGCGAACGAGACGAGAGGGAAGCGGCACAAACGGCCCCGCGCTTCGCGTCCGGCTCTTGACGGACACACAGACGGAAAAGGCAAGATGAGGTGCCTGACGAGTAGCAGCGCCACCCAACCAGCGGCTTCCGGTCCGGCAGGCACGGCTAGAACTCCCAACGCCGCGCCGAGCACCGCCACAACGGCACCGGCACCGCCAAAGACAGCCCGAGGAGTGCGCGAGAGCCGCTTTCGCGCATGCGCCGTACCGCTGCTCTGCGCGAGGCGGGCCGTCTGCCGCCATACGGCGCACGCGCGCAGCACGAAGAGGCGCTGAATTGGGCGCGTGAGGCGCGAGGACGCTCCGCCCCGTCAAAGTAGCGCTGTGTAGCGCGTGTGTGAAGGGCGAGCGGATACGAAACACGGACACTGGGAACAAGGCGTGCTTCTGCGTTCTAATCTTTTATTGGAAATGCGTAAGCCCCGCTAGGGGCGCCGGGGGCGCCGCCTCTTGCAAGACGGAGGAGCGCGCTGGGCGCTGCCGGCCCTCCTCTTGATGGGGCGCCGGGGCCCCCCAGCCGAGCGCTTCCTGCCCCGGCCGCGAGCGGAGGGGCCGCGGCTGCGGCGCTGCTCGGCAGGACCGGCTGCCTCGGGAGCCGGCTCCTCGCCAGGACCTGTGCCGAGGGCCCCGCTGGACGTGCCGGGGCGCTCCTCTGCGTCGGGACCCGCGGAGCTGCCGGAGGGCACGGCGCTGGGTGCGACGGCGTCTTGCGGGGAGGCGGCGGGACCGGACGGGGCCGCGGGGCCGTCCTGCTGCTCCTGGGCAGCGCTGGGATCTTGGAGGCCCAGCAGCCTCCGGGCCCCCGGGCCGCACCGGCTCTCGATGGTTGTGACGAGGCCGTCGATGAGCGGTGCGGAGCTGGGTCCCAGGGCGTGCTCTGTGCAGTCCACCAAGACGTCCCGGTCCGGCCCCACCTGGCACAAGAATGCCAGGATCATGCTCTTGAGCCAGTTGATCTTCCACCAGCGGAGCTCCCCGTTGCGCCGCAATTCCTGCTCCAGCCAGGGCAGCACCGGGTCCAGGATGTCTCGTTGGTCCCTGAAAAGTGCCGCCCACTGCTCCGGCAGCAGGCCGCCCACTCGCTCCGGCTCCTCGGCCATGGGCACAGGGGACAGCGGTGGAAGGGGTGGAAGAAGGTCCTCCTCGCTGTCAGGGTCAGGGGCAGTGGTGGCGCCGAAGCCGGCGGGCACCGGCACTGCGGGCAGGGAGACGATGCAATCCACGAACTGATTGTCTCCCCGCACAGAGACCCGGATGGTCTGCATGGCCGTCCTGCACAGCGGGCAGCTGTCCCTCAGCCTCGCCCACCGCTGGATGCAGCCAAGGCAGAAGGTGTGATTGCAGGGAATCACACGGGCCGTGTCCTGCCGCATGTCGCGGCACACAGGACACGTCCATGCCTCTTCTGCAGCCATGGTCTTCTCGCTGCAGGGGCTGGGAGAACTCAGGATGACGAGCTGTTCTCCTTCAGCGCAGCCGCAGAGGTGCTGTCTGCCCTGCAAAAGAAGGGAGGCCACAGTCACTCGCTGTGCCAGGGTGTGCGAGTCCTCAGCACAAAGCCCTCCCAAGCCCATGACTGGGCCTTCTCGTGCTCCCCGCTGGCACAGGGCCAGGCTCACCACGGCTGCCCTGAGGGACCCAGGTGTCCCCGCACCACTCACCTCTGCTGCTGCGGGTGCGCTCAGAAGGGTCCCGGCTGCCTGCACTAGGCAGGGCCGGGGGAACAGAAGCGATACTGTGGGGTCAGGCACTGAGATGCTGCGAGCAGCCCCAGGCACGACCCAGCACAGCACAGCCAAAACCTTGCTCGACCTGCAAGCCTCGCAGCACTGCTCAGCACGGTCCAGGAACGAGCCAGACTGAGCCAGGCTCTGCCGGCACCCCACTGTGAGCTGTGAGGGCAGAGCTGTCACAATCCGTCACCCGGTGATGTCACAGCCTGTTGCTCGGGGACATCACCATGGACTGTCTGCCCCCGCAGCACCCACCCGTGTTTCAGATATTACCTCCTTTTCCTGTTCCTGATTTGCTGTACCCTCCCCTTCATTCCCATCCACCTTTTAGGCTCGACATTTGACATTAATGCACAGGCCTTTCTTTTTTTCCGATTAAACCAACTCTGACTTTTCAGATATTATCGTTTTCAAACAAGCCCTTTTAGTTTAGTTTAGGGAATGATGAAATTGATCAAAATTGAGTATATTTGCAAAAATAAATGACATACTTTCTGGTATGCATGTATCACATCTGAAAGAAGTCTTCTAACATCCTGAAGTTTTATTGAGTAAAGGGAATCTCAGGTTTTCGAAGCTAATTGGAAGCTCTGTGTTTTTCTTTCTTAAATGCTCGATGTATTTATCGTATGGAATTGAACTACTGATGATTGCTGTATGCATGTGAGCAAGTGGATGACAATGTCTTACTGTCATTTCACCTCCATACTGTACAGCTTCTTGGCCAGCTTCCAACCAAATCGGTTTGAAAGATAAAGTTTTTACAGTGTCATAGAAAGTATGAAGTCGGTGTAAAGATGAGACCCTTCGTACCGCCACCAAAAAGTATAGTGGTTCAGTGTGAATTCACCCCTACTAAAATCCATGTGGAGAAGCACGCTAAATACAAGTGAAACGTCAACTGCCCCTCATATCTTGTTCACACATGAACAAATCCAAGTTCAAGACACAAATACAAAAGATAGCAGGCTTCATTAGCTCTGTTGCTAATGTGGTAATTGAGATTGGGTAAATCTGAGTCTGTCATTTAACAACATCCTGGAAAATAAAATTATCTAGTTAAAAATATTTTTTCAGGATTTATGCAGCCTTTTATGCAATAACCTTTTAACTGTTCTTCACAGGTGTTAAAAAGCAAGTCTGCACCTGTCTTTGTGGATGTTCAGTTTGCTTGCTAGATAGATAGCTAGATGAGTAGATATAGGAAAACATCTAATACATATACGTATGTATATATACACAAAATGTGTGTATGCAAATGTAAAAATGTATGTGTATGTAGTATGTGTGAATATGCATATATGAATACTGTATTTGTTTGTGCTTAGATAAATCTAAGCAAAATGCTATTGCTGCCTTAGTTAAGATTTTGAGATTGAGCATCTAAATTTAAGAACATTTTACTTAGACTGCAGCAAACACTGTTGTATTGGATCTTTAAAAATAAGACCACTTAGGTGATAAAAAAAATGGATTTATCAAATGAGTTTATGTTGTAGCTCTTATGCAAATACTGCTCTTCAGACAAAAGGCCCATGTCAAGCAGGTACCTCTTTTTCCTCCACTTCCGCTTCCTCAGTTCCAAGCAACTGAGGAATTAATGTCTGCATAAGCTGAGAGAGGTCCAGTATGCCTTGACATGAGAATACTTGCAAAAGAAAGTGTTTTCTCAGCTACAGTCCAAAGGCTGAGACCATTTCTATCAAATGAGAAATAAGACGAATCACTGAGACTTCAAAATCTGCTGGAGGCCGAAGCCTCTCAGGAATAAGTTTTCTTCCTGTGTCTGCATATGCATGCATCTTCATTCTCTCAGTGAAAATCTCTTGAAAAACAGTAGGTTAATAGTAATTCACTAACCAAACTGCACGTGACATCTGAACGATGAAGGATTCTAATAGGATTTTTTTTTTTTAAAGTCTTTGCTGAGTAGGAGGAGACAAAAAAAAAAAAAAACACATAAAACTAAGGACAACGCTTAAATTGTCACATTGCTTCCAAAACGCTTCTTCATTTGCTGCATGTTTCCAGCTTTTTCCCCCGTTGTAAGCGTTTTATGATCATTTCAATGTGTTTTGGTTGGTTATCTATACAAAAAGTAAAAAAGCAAGAATAGCATACCAAGAAGTATGTTCCCTACAAAAATGTGTGAGCTTGGCCTGGCTTCTTGACAAGGGGTTTTCATCACGGGGCATTTGTTTAGAGTGGTTTGCAAATGGCAACATCAGCTACGTGCAAGTGCTAGCAGAGCTGAAAGACCAACAGAAAGTATTTTATTCATGGTAGTAGGCATGTAGGCATCTACCCATTCTGAAATATTGCGGAAGGCGTGAGGAATGTGCACGCTGCTTGCAGAAGCACACCAGTGGCATTCAGAGTTAGGTCCATATTAAACTGGGAGGGAAGAGTGACTGCGCGCTTCCTTCCCCCATTAATCTCCACTCAAATAACTCAGAGCAGTACTTTGAGCCCTGCAGACCCATTTTCCATGTAAGATTTCCATAGGTAGCGTCTCTCAGGACATGAGTGTTGCAGAGATGCTCACACTGAGGCCTCATATTTTGGAAACAAAGCATAGCTTAGAAATGTAAACATCACTGGCTCTCATGGTGTGTAATAGCATACCTAGAAACTGCTAAGTAGTACACAGAAAGGAACTGGGACTTTCTGCCTTTGGTGTGGTTGAAAATGTGTAGCTGAGACATTCCCTCACATCACTTCTGCCCGTCTTCTGAATGTATCTATGTAATTTATGTAAGCTGCTATTACACTTATTAGTTGTGAATCATTTAGGAAAAAATGATGTGGGGTTTTTTTAGTAACAGCACTTTCCTGATGCTTGCACTGTACTAAAAAAAATTGCAAAAAGCTTCAGACCTCCCTCCTGTAACTGTCACTGTAATGTCTTGGAAGGAGACTTAAGTATATAAGAACTAAATACGGTGAGAATCCAATAGCTGTTGTGATACCATTTCTGGTAGACAGACAGGTCTTCAAGCTTTCTCCTCTTCTCACTTCTTCTGTTGTATTCAGTCATCATTTCAGTTTAATTTTTAAAAATTATTTTTTTCTG